AAAATGGTTGCAAAAAAAAAAAAAAAAAAAAAAAAAAGAGCGCAACGAAACGGAACGGGACGAAATGAGTGGTGCTGTTCGAATTTACACGCACGGCTTTCAAGTGCATGGGCATGAGCGTAAAACATAAGCATGTCCCGTCTCCGCACGTTTGCGTAGAGTCACATATACATATATGCACGGATGAATGGGTGGGTGCTTTTTTCCCGCTTGAGAGTGCATTCCCAACACACGCGCAAATGAACACTAAAGCGGTTATTTTGCCACACACAGAAGCAGTTGAGCACAGTCAAACCGAAGTAAAGTACGGTGCAGGTTCACATAAAAGGATGCATCAACACACAAATAATTTTGCTCTTCGAACATATTAGTGCTGTTCTCATTCTGTCATGTGTTGTTCTTGAGTTCGTTGCACGTGTGTTTTCCTAAGTTTTCGTTTTCCCCCAATAAGAAGTTTTCTTTTTCTTCCTTTTTAATTTCCCCCTGCTATTCTCCTGCTTCTCATTTACTTTCCCCCACACAGTAGACGTAAAAACGTGGACTATACACTCTGACATACATGCGTACACATGTACATTCTGAAATAGTTGTACCCGCGGAAGCACTTTCATACATAATATGAGTTGCACACAGAAGGCGTTTTGTTCGGTGGGCATATAAAAAAATTCGAGGTACTGTTAAATGGAGATGTATTCTTCGTCCAGTCATGTGTGTGTGTACGTCACGGCATACGTGTTGCATACATACACATATGAGTCGACGATCATGACACTGTGTTTAAATAATCAACGCCAACGAATCGGCTAACTCGCCAAAATATGTGTTCACACATGTGGCAACCACTCCCTCCCCCAACGTACACACTCGGATGAAGTAGTTACGCGAGAGTAGTGAAATTGAAAAGGAAAAAATGGGGGGGGAAAAAAAAAAAAAAAAAAAATTGGGGAAGAAGTAAAATTAAAAATTCATTTAAACTTAATGTGCAAATTTATAAGAGTTAAAAATTCAGTTCGTTCTGTGTATGCAAACCTCTTTTACGTATGACAAAACGCATTTGTTTGAATGCCCCCACGTGTTGCAAAAATACATAAGTGGAATTAACAAGCAATAGCTTTCACACGAAAAAGGAACAAAATGAGAAAAAAAAAAAAAAAAAAATTGGTTGGATGAACCATTCCAGAGGAGTGATAATCATGGCGCATGTGTAAAAGTGCCACGTGTGTATGCAGCACGCACAGGCGTATGCACATGCACAGGGGGATGTTTGTATGTTTGCCCACTCGCCCGTTTGTATTTTTGTGTGCCCCTTGATTTGCACCCTCGCTTATGCGAGCACTTTGTTTCCCCCGCATAATCGCTTGAGGCGATATTTGAACGGCAAACCAGAATTCATCACGCATGCGACGCGTCCAAAAAATGGGGATTTTTATTATTCGTCCCTTCCGCGGATTTACCATGTGTGAGTTTGACCTTTCTTCGCAGGAGTGCCATATGCCCCTGTCACCGAACGCAAAGGCAAAAGCTGCCTCTCGCCCCCCTCACCAATTTGTTTTTCCATCGGGGGCCTCCCCCAAAATTTCTCACCTTAAAACGGCAGAAACATTGCACAGTTCCAATTTTTTTACCATTCCAAAAATGGTTGCAAAAAAAAAAAAAAAAAAAAAAATGAACAAAATGAACAACAAAATGGTATGCGTGGGGAGAAAAAGGCGCATCTCTGCTGACTCCCCCAGTGAACATAGAAAAATTCTTACCGCCAAATATGAAGTGTCTTTTGGCGCTCAACTGTCCTAGTAACGACCCTATGCTTGCGTTTGAGACGTGCCTCTTGGCCTGTTCATCTTTACAAGTGACTGTCCAATGAGCGAATGAGGAGCATATATTTCCTCGCGCGAATTCACGGCTGTGTATATTTTTCGATTTGTCCCCCTTTTTTTTTTTTTTTTTTTTTTTTTGTTTTTGCGCATGATGCGATATGCACACCAAATTGAGAGGAACATTTTATTTTACACGAAACAGCATATGCTTTTTTTATCACTTCAAGTATGATTGAGCCTTCTTCACACCATGGGTTTCGCCTTTCTTCGCCGCTTAAATTTGGGGAAGGCAAAGTTGGCAAAAATGTGCATTTTGTGAGCGCGTATAAAGCGCATCCCTCACTTATAATCGTCTCCCTTGCCGAACCAAAATATTTTTTTGCCGAGGGGTGTGTGACGCCTCTTTACACGTTGCGCAATTTAGTTCCACTTCTCCAATACCATGGTGATATTTCCCTGTAGCGGCAAATTATGCTCCGCGTTTTTTTTTATATTTTTATATATATATTTTTCCGACGCGGTGATTATTCCAAGCAGGTTGACTTATCTGCGCTCAGTTACGCCTCCACCATTTGGAGGTATCACTAACAGGGGAATGCAACTGCGTCCGTCGCAGCGATACATTACCGTCAGAAGGGAAGAACGCGGAGTAGTGTTAATCCTGCACGAAAAAAAAAAAAAAAAAAAAAAAAAAAAAATGCTGAACAAAATGTACATATGAGAAGAGTTACCCAAATCGCCGATTAAGCGACGCTGATTTAAACGACATTGCCAAATGACACACCTGACCATGTAAAGTTGTCTCTTTACGACGTCATGGTGTGGACTGAATGATTTATCAAAACAAAGAATTTTTATTAATTGTAACGGGTGGGTAAGATAAAAGTTCATAGTTACTCCACACCGCAGTGAAAATGCACAAAAGTTGTATTACATGTGCATATAAAAAAAACGCGAGCAAGAGTGCGTCGAAAAAAAAAAAAAAAAAAATTAAACAGGGGAAACTAACCATAAAGTTGATAAAGCACATGAGAAGAGAGTGAAAGAACGGTGCGAAACATATACACACATTTATATACACTGCGTCTTAATCATACAGAATGGTTAAGAAATTGTTTCCTATTTTGAGTGGAAAAAATTGAAGGGGAAATGGGAGCGTAGATTTCTTTCCCATGTGTAAAGAGGCACTTAAAAAATGCAAATGAGAAGCTCGCCTGGGTTAAACCCGAATTGCGAATGTGGCTAGGCAATTCTGCCCTCGTCTAGTCCTCTTGGGCGTCCTGCTCTGCATCCTCGGCTTCGCCTTCATCGGCTTCGCCTTCATCGGCATCGCCTTCATCGGCATCGCCATTCTCGGCGTGGCCATCTTCAGGGTCGCCATCCGCACCCACCCCTTCTCTTTCCACCCCCTGTTTGTCAAACACGTGTTCATTGTTTTCATGAGAAGACGCTATGCTAATGGCCCCCCCTTGATCTGCATTCTCCTCATACGACAGATCATTCTGTGCTAGGTTTGCATTTGAAGGGTTCATCAGAGCGGGGTGCTCTTCCTCCGTTTCATTGTCCCCATCGGAATGTGTAGACCTCGAAAAGTCACTGTGGGGATGCTCGTCATTCGAACTTTCACCCCGCTCATGATAAGGGCTGTTTGTTGCACTATCAGCGTTTTCGTTGGAGCTATCGAGGGGTTCATTTTCAGACAGCGCTCTTCCTGCACCTTGTCCATCCTCCTCTTCCCCTTCTTCTCCTTCGGGATCCCTCCCGCTGTACTCATCGTACTGGGCATACTCTTCCTCCTCCCCCATGTCGTCCTCTTCACCCATATCGTCTGCTTCACTCATATCGTCCTCGTGACCCATATCATCCTTGGAGTTATCGCCATCGTAGTGGTCATAGTCGTCCTCGTCGTCGTACTGTTCATACGGCTTGAAGTGTTCATTTGCGTCTTGGCCATCATCATCACCATCCTCGTCGTCGTCCTCGTCATCTTCCTCTTCCCCCTCTTCATCCTGTTCGTAATCTTCATTTTCGTATTCACGCATTTCATCGTCCTCATCATCGTCCTGTTCATCCTCCTCCTCCTCCTCATCGTTGTCGCCGTCGTCTTCTTCCTCCTCTTCAAGGACCTGCTGGCGTAACCCCGCGAGTTCCCTCCTTCCATTATCGTCATCCCTCTCACCGTCCTCGTCTGAAGAAATTACATAACAACTTCTGTTGCTCTCCATTTCATTATTTTCTTCTTCATGATACTGATTGCTGTGAAGGAGATTGTGGTCGGCATCATCGCAGGGGCTTCTAGAATTGTGTAGCTCCCCTTCGTGACCACCCACTCCTTGCACCGACTCCAACAATCTGTTTTCTTCCCTTTCATGGGTGTACAATTCAGCGTTGAGGTTATCCTCCCTGCTGCCTTCATCATCGTAGGGGTAACTGTCACCATCTCCCATGCAGCTGCCCTCCAGGTCACTGCGTTGCGGTTGTTCCGCTTGCTCGTCCTGCTGCGCCTCGTGCTGCTCCTCCTGCTCACTGTTCACAGTGGGCACACCACCTTCCGTCGTATTTTTTGGCTTCTTCAAATGCCTCGTAGACGTAGGACAATTCACGTTCACCATTTCTGAATCGGAGCTGTATTTTCTTTTTTTGATTCCTTTTTCCTCCCCCGTGTCGTAGTTGTCCTCCGACACATTGGACCTAAACGGACTCACCACGCGATCGCTGGGTGCGTCGAGGTCCTTCATCGCGTGCGTTGTCAGGGGAGTCCATGGTGGCAAATCCCCTTGCTCGCTTGGAAGCTGGTCGGGCGACAACTGGTCAGGTGACAACTGGTCAGGCGGCAGCTGGTCAGGCGGCCGCTGATCAGACAGACGTTCGTCGTTATGCATTTCGTTACTTTGCGGTTCCTCCTGTTCATATCCCCTCGTGCTTTCCATTTCGCTCTCCTCCTCATGAGGGTTTATTTCTTCTCGCATGTTGAATAACGGCCCCGTGGGAGTGTACCCCTCTGCAGCTTCCTCCTCCTCATGCGCCGCGTTATGCGCGTCGCTATGCGATATGTCCTGCTCTCCTTCCACACCGCCTACAACGTGAGAGGGATCCATTTGGTCCACGCAGAACTCCGCGCCGGTCTCCCCTCCATCGTCCATTTCTTCTTTATCCCCTTCACGAGACGACTGAACTGTGTCATCGCGATCATTAGTGTTGGCTTCCGCGCAAGACACCGAATTGTCGTCCGCTGCATTTTCCAAAGCAGAGGTAACAACTCCAGGGTGTCCTTCTTCAATATTTACATCTAATCCATTTTCGCTGGGGTGAGATGATCTTGCGTCGTCCTCACTTGGAGGACTGGAGGACGCTTCACTTGGCTCCTGCGAAGTTTGATTTCCCTCGTCCTCTTCGCGAATCATACCTCGGAAGATGCCTCGAATGAAGCCTGTGACATTTCCCGACGTGCATGCCGCCTCTCCTTCCCCCTGGTGGTCATCCTCCAATACATTTTCCTCATATCGTTCCAACGTTTCGTTGTTCGTTGCTTGACTTGCGTCTTGTTCATCTGATGGGATGACGGCACCCCTTTGTGGAGGCTCGACATTCTCGCGTGATTGCGATAGGTATCCCCCAGTGCCTGCCTCTTTACCCTCTGCTTGCTCCTCACCACCCCTCACTGCATCCACTTTTACCACATTTATGCTATCTGTAGTTCCTGCTTGGGGAGCTTCATTGGTGGGGTGTTGTTCCTCATTTGGACCCTGCACAAAGTTGTGACTCTGTTCCGAATGTACATTTGCGATTCCTTCACTAGTGGAAGGGAACACGCGTTCATGGCATGGTTGGCCTTCAGTCAACGATTCACTCGCATCGAGATTGAATGCACGATTGGTGAAGTGACTATTGGCAAAGTCGCCACTTCCCCCGTCGGGATCTGCCTCCTCGCGGAAACTCACAAAATCGCCCGTCCCATTTTCTATCATGGAATTAAAATTATGAGCAAATTTCTGAACATGCTGAAAGACTTCCTCCACAATTTCGTAGTTCACGTTTGTCCACTTGCCCTCCTGTTTACCCATGGCGGAGTCATCACAACCCGCACTGCCCTGCAGCTCGTCCATAATAGAGTCGTACATAAACAAATGGAACACTTTTTTCAAACTACTGAGTTGATTTAGTATGGAAGCTTCCACCCTCTTCCTCGAATTCACAACTTTAAAAATATCACAAATGACAATGTTATGTTGGATTAGATGACCAATGAAGCTTTTGTACCTTCCCAGATTTACTGCATGTAATTTGTTAATCTCTTCTGTGTTCTTTAAATTTGTTTTCAAATTTTTAATGGAGCTTTCGTTGGTCTGTATATTATCCTTTAGCTGTGCAATTTGGTCTAGGTTATTGACTTGAATGACTTCATTTTTTTTATTTTTTGTCTTAAGACTTTCAATAAACTCATTCTGTGTTTGTATACTCTGCTTGAGAGAACTCACTTGATTTTTCAAAATTTGAATTTCTTTTAAATTGCGATTTATTATGTACAGGTAGCAAGATCCTAACTTAAATAGTTTTAGTATATTACACTTGATTATGACGATGTGTTCACTTCCATTTGAAACGGGTTGTCCTCCATTATGCGTGGATGGTCCAGCAACTCCTGTTTCATTACCTGAAAATTTCTTCAGCGTGCTGAGAATCTCTTCCGATGATGCGTTCATAGCATTTTCCAAGGCAGTGAAGCTATTGTTCTTCACACTACTATCGCTATACCCCTGACACGCATAATTTATTTTCTTATTGTACTTTTTCATGAGGTCACCAATCAACTCGTCCTTCTCCTTTATGTGTTTATTCATGTTATCCTTGTACTGCTCCATAATGATTAGGGATTCTTTCAATTTTGTTATACTACCCGATAGAGTAGCGATATCGTCTTGCAGCTTTTTAATTTCCTTATCCTTCTGCCTGGCCTCCTCTTTACACTGTTCAATCACGTCATTCCTATTCTCCAGTTCCGCTGTCAGGTCTATATTTTCGCTAATATATTTGTGTATTTCGAGCGATACGTTGGAGTTGTTTGTTTCTCCCACGGCCGCTTCCTCTGCTACATCACCACCCACCTGCGAAACACACACGCGCGCCCTCATTTCAGCATTCTCATTAGTGAGTTTTTTAATCTGGAAGTTAAGTCCAATGATCTGCTTCTCCTTTGCATTGATCATGGCGAGGTGCTGCGTCACTTGACTTTGTAGCTTCTCATTTTCTACAATGACCGTGTCGTTGTTTTTGGTGGACTGGAAAAATTTATTTTCCTTCTCCAATTCTTCAATTTTCCTTTCATGTTCCTCTTTAGCAAGTAGAAGGACTCTGTTTTGTTCATTAATTACATCTAAATCGGTTTTCATTTTGTTAAAATGGATTGCATGCTCACTGCTCTGTTTCTCCAACTGCTGCTCCATTTTCCTTTTGTCCGACTCCTTCCTTAACAATTGAGCTTCCAGCAATTTTATCTTCACTGTGTATTTTTCTTCATTCATTTGTACCTTCTCGATTTCCTTCTCTAGGTTATGCAATTCTACCCTACTCTTTTGCAGATTTGCTTTAAGACTTAAAATAAATTCGTCATTCAAATTCCCTAGGCTGTTTTTATCACTTAGGTTTGTCTGCAATTCGGCGATGTACTTTTGCTGCTGGAGTAGTTTCCCCTTTTCAATTTGTAACTTTTGCTTCAATTCAGCATTTTCAAAATTTACCTTATCCCGTAGGGTACAATTCTCATGGAGTTCTTCCTGCAGGTCTTTATTTACACCAATCAACTGTTCTAACCTTGTCTTAAGCATTTGATTTCCGTTTAGGTTGACTCTTCTTTTAAACATATCATTCAATTGGGAGTTGTCGTTTTTTAAATTTTCCAATAGGTCTTTCAAATTATTTATTTCTTCCTTGTGTGAATTGACTATGACCTCTCTCTCGTTGATTAAGATTTTATTTTGTTCCACCTCAGATTGATATTTTTGAACAAGTCCATTCAGTTCCTTCTGCAAATTGTCCTTATCCTTTTTCAGCAGTGTTATATATTCTTCCTCCTTTTGTTTCATACCCAGATGATTTTTTTTTTCATTTTCTAACACGTCTATTCTAATTTGCAGCTGTTCATAATCCCATTTCAATTTCTTAATTTCCATTTCCTTCTCCGCTACATTATTTTGCAACTGTTCAATCTGATCATTCAGCTTGTCCTTTGTTTCATCCAACTCCTTCACATGCTTCGATTGTTCTACTCCTAGCATATCATTTATTTTACTTAATTTCTCCTCATTCAATTGACTTAATAAGAGAAATTCTTTATGCTTTTCCACCTGCTCACTGCACATTTTCTTTAGCCTTTTTATTTCATCCTTGCTGCATGCACTGAAATTCCTCCACGTCTCAATCACTCCCATGAGAATTTCTTTTTCTCCTTTGAGTTGCATAATTTCTCTTTCCAAATCAGCTTTACTCTCTTGTAACTTTTTAATTTTTACTTCCTTTTCCGTTTTGTACTCTATCTCGTCGATAATGGACTGGTGATAATAATTGTTTCCTCCTTGGGGTGGTAAAGGAAGATGTGACGACCCCATTGTTATGTTAACCGGTGGGATAGCGGTAACTGCAACGCTTGTTCCTTCCTCCTCCTCCTCTTCCTCCATATCGTCCTTCTGATCTTCCCCTTCTTGCCCTTCCTTTCCTCCCGTTACAGATGATGAAACAGCCATGCAGTGCCTCAACACATTCACCTGCTTCACACGTTCGTTGAGCTCCTTCTTCATGAGAGAACCTTTACTCTCCAATTCTTTAATCCTTTGCACTAAATTCAAATTTTCCATCTTCAGATTATTAATGTCAGATACGTTTTTCTTATTGTGTTCCTTCTCCTCAACCCAAAGACCATTCAAATTGTTCAATCTAATATCGTAATCACATTTTATTTGTTCATTCAGGGCAAAGAATGAATTGAGCTTTTCTCTTAGAAATTGGTTATTCTCTTTTTCCTCTTGTATTAGTGAGTGGAGGTATGCCTTTTCCTTTTCATACAGCTTAATCATTTCTTCATTCTGTTCACTGAGTTTCACATTTCGCATGTCCCTACTGGAGAGCTCCTCTTCCATGAGAAGCTTCTCCTTTTTCACTTGTTCATATTTGTCGACCAGCAGATCGTGCTTATATTTGTATTCCTTACATTCGTTTTGCACAAGTGCGTGGTTATTAACCACTCGTTTTATTTCCTCCTCATTTACCATTACTAACCTTTGAAGCTTTTCCTTTTCCTTTGCTAACACATCCATGTCGTATTCAAGTTTCTTCCCCCGTTCGAATAAATTAGCTTCATTAACATTCATCTCCTTAATCCTCTTATCACTCTCCACAACTTTATCCTCGTACCTCTTGGCCAGTCTTATTATCCTTTCAAATCGGTTCAACAAGAGGTCGAAGGATATTTCTACATTACTGAAGTTCAGATTAAAGAGGTTAAAGTATCGCTCATAAACAAGTTTGTATTTTGCCTCCATGTCCATGAGGTTATAACTAACGATGGTGTTGAAGATCGTGTTGATGTGAATGAAGTGATGGTGATAGAACTGCCTGTACTTTTGAATCAACTTGGCTTCTTCTAAATGGTGCAACAGCTCCTCCTCTGAATGCTTCTTCTTCCATTTGTGCAGCTCTGCGGACAGCACAACGGGATCTGCATGGGCTCCTTGCGAGACAGGGCGATGAATGGAGCAATCCTCGAGCAAATGCTCCACGCGGAATTCTTCATTGTACTCAGCGATGCGTCCAAATATCTCCAACGTGATGACGTAATTATCGAAATAACTTAGCAAATCGCTGCGGCGAAAGTAACTCATTTGCTTATTTTCAATATTAACAATTGCTTTTTCGAGGTTCTCCAGGATTTGACGGAAGGCCTCTTCCTTCTCGGCCAGCGCACGCGCGCGGCCTGCTTTGCAAGCATCCTCATCCGCGCAAAGGCCAACCAGGCTAAGCGCCTCATTAACAGCTCCCCCAACGGTAGCCACAGGTGCTCCACCTTGGAGAAGCGAATTATTGCTCAGGTTGGAAGGAGTTTTCCCACTGAAGTCGTCTACGAGACACCCACCCTTAACATGTCGACCCACGCAATCGTTAACAGCAGCCTCCACGAGGCTTTCAATGGAGCAGTTTTTGTTATTACGATCCACGTGAACGAAAGAGGATAGGTTCGAAATGGAAGATATGACTTTAAGTAGCGTTTCTTTCTCCAACTTAACCTTAAAATTAGCATCCTTCAACTTTTGCACCATCATGTCCTTCTCCTTGACTTTGTTTTCTACATCCCTTATATATTCTAATTTTTCATGAAGGAGATTTTCCATGTGTGCCTTTTCACCTTGAAGGGTGAGCGGGTCCAGTTGATAATTTTTTCTCACAAAACGATTCATATCGTCCTTCATCCTGTTGCTCCTTACATTCACATGCGACTTGTCCATTTTTTCGTGCGACCTCGAAAGAGCAATAATTTTGACCTGTGCTTCGTTAAGTAAATAATTCAAACTTTTAAATTTTTTCTTTTTAATTTTTATATACTTATCGTGATCACGTTTTTTTCCATCCTGATGATCGTCTCCTGAATCGTCCGAGTCAGGAAGAGGAGTGTTAAAAATAACTTCATATGTGTACAGAGCAGAGAAGCAATTAATATCCTCAAACATGGTTGAATCAATTTTATTCTTCTCGCACACATGTTTAATATCATTAGTGGATCGGAGAATCATCACGTTACAATTTTTTCCATTTAAAAATTCATGAGTAACAGAAAATAACAGATTATTTTTTTGTATAATTTTTTTGTACATGGATTCAAACTGTGTCAATGCCTCTTGGAGGTTCTCCACCTTTTTTTTATATTGCTGCATTTTTTTTTTCAACTGATCATTTTGCTCTTTCAATTCGTCCCTATCCTTTTCTACCTCCAATAACTTTTTAATGCTACCCTCTGATGTGGCCAAGGACTTGCTCAAAATTTCCTTTGCTTTATTTAAACTTTCCACTGCATTTTTCCTCATCGTCTCTTCTTTATGTATTAATTCGCGCAAAGACTCTACCTCCATTTTATTTTCTTTAATGCTTTTAAAATTATTTTTTTCACTTTGAAGATATTTGTTGAGTAGTTGTTCTCTCTCCACTTTGAGCTGTTGATTTGTTTCTTTTAAATTGACATTTTCTTTTTTAATGGAATCCATTTGTTTGTTAAATTCTGCTTCAAATTTATGTTTCTCCTTCATCATGCTGTTGCATTCTTCAATTAGCTTTTCATTTTTTGTATTCATTTCTTTATACCTCTCTTCCACCTTGGCTAATTTAATTTTTAGTTCATCGTATTCACTTTTGTAACGTGCATAAGTCATTGGTCCTCCTGATCCTCCCGCTGCGTCTTCCGAAATTATAGCTTTCCCTCCAAAGTGAATATTACTTTCAATATTTTTTCTTTCAATGACATTCTTCAAATTTGCACATTCCTTTTCCACCTGACTGTTCCTCTTTTGTAGTTCCTTCACCTCCTCACTCTTCTGTGCACACTCTTCCTTTGTCCTTATTAATGTGTCCATTACCAAATTGTAATCTTTTATTTTAATTTGTAACTTGCTCCTCAATTTTGTTATAAGTGCATCCTTGTCTTGGTGTTTCGAATCGTCAAACAACTCATCCTCCTCTATGCTCTTTATTTCGTTGAAGCACATGGACTCCATTACATTTGCGTGGCTATGACTCTGTGTATGACTGTGACTGTAGCTGTAGCTATGTGTGTACTCTGGTCCGCACGTGGGGACGCAACTCGGACCGGCCCCGTAGGGCTCATTCAACTGAAACAAATTTTCATACTCCTCGTCGTTCATAATTGCGTTCTGACTTCCATCACTTGGAGCCGCGTCGCTGCCTCCGCCATCCCCGACATCCCCTCCATCTTGCGCCTTCTCTTTTCCTTTTTTGAAGTTAAAAATCATTTTCTAACAAGTGGGGCGCAGCAGGGCGAAAAATGTCTCAACGGGGGAGAAACATTCAGAAAATTGCACACAAAAAAAAAAAAAAAAAAAAAGAAACGAAACGAAACGAAATTCAAAATAGGGTTCACAAATTAAGGGATCGCCTTTTTAACCAGCATGCCAATCCATTTTCTCCCTCCCGGTGCCGTCTGAGGATCGCAGCACCACAGACGAGCTGAGCTCCTGGGCGCCTCCGTCTGTGGGGTCTCCTCGTCAGTCACCCATAGGGAGAGAACCGGGAATGGCCTGCAAGGTGATCGGTGATCAAGCTCGAAAATGGGGACAAGCAGCCCCAAAAATGTTGTCGCAAATTATTGCAGCGAACTGCTGCCGCGAATTACTACCGCGAACTACTACCCGCCACAGGGAGACGGGGGGAAAGGCCAATTTAGGCGAAGACCCAAACAGTCGCTCAGCCTCTTTTCCCGTCTGCAATGGCGCTTCACCCGAATGTAAATTGCTGGCCGAGTTCTCCACTTGTGGGCTTCGGCAGCCAACTTTTCATTCAGGTGGTTCGCGGGGAGACAGCAGCCCAATCGCGTCAATGGCGCCAGGTCGCGATAGTCGCCACGGGTCACGGCGAGGGGCAGAATTCTCCCCAATTCTCGCACCGGTTCGCTCAACTGGCGGCTACCGATTCGCGCAATATGAACTAAAATGACAAAAACATGTTGCAGTGAAACTGTCGCACTTGTGTGCCTCACTACAAACTTATTTTCCTGAAAAAAAAAAGAACACGTTCTTTTACGCGTTCGTACTTATCCTCAAAATGTTTAAGTAAAAACGCGAAAAGGAATTTTTTTTTTTTTTTTTTTTTTTTGCGGAGCTTTTGCTTTAGCCTCTTTTTTTTTTCTTGCACGCCTCGAATAAATGGCCGGGGTCGCAAAAAGGAGGAAATTTTTTTTTGTCCTTTGGTAAGTGGGAAAATTTTTCCTTTGCTTCATTTCGCTACAAATTTTTCTTTTCCTTTTTTTTTTTTTTTTTTTCGTCAATTTATATGAGCTCTGAAAAAGGTAACCCCCCCCGCGGGAAAAATGTGATGGATCCCACGGGGCACCCTGTTCCCCCCCCCCACCCCCCCCCGTCGATAGTTTCGCTTTTTCACTGCTTCACACCTCTTCCTACAGAATGGTAGTTTTCCTCGAACATTTGCGCAACGGCGTGAGTGTACAACTGTGCTGTGATCCTCGCGCACGCTTCCAAATAAATTTGAAGACTTGGTAGGACTTCGCGCCTGCCGCTGTGATCGCGTGGGTGGAGTCTCCATTCGGCTACGTAGGCACATGTGTTTGCAGAGTGTAAGGGGGAAAGCTGTGTAAAGGAGTGTTTTTTTTTCCGCCTGCCTTTTCACTCCTCATTTAGTCCCCATTCCGTCGCTTCTTTCCCCCCCTGCCACTTTTCTTCCCTGCGTGCACAGCGCAATTATGGGCAGGATCCCCCACCGTTGCGGTTACACATTGGGTATAAGAAAAAAAAAATAAAATAGAAAAAAAATAAGCTTGGAAGGGCGACACGTAGTAGGCAAGGACGAACGATTCAACCTCCCATTGCCACACCTTCTACGGAATTATCGCAACGCGTGGTGTTGGATGACTCGCCCTCCAGTGTGCATATCTCTGCTTGGATGGTGATGGAATGAAGGGCAAAGTTTTTCCCCCTTTTCGAGAGGAGCCGCACAATAATGAACATTAATGGGCTCCACTGATATAGGGTCACAAAGTGTAACGCACAAGTGAACAGAGTTACGACTCCGTAGAAACGCTCAACGTTGATGGACGCCAAAAGAAAAAAAGTGAGCGCGCGTTGATATCGTTCATGTGAGTAGAACTACGCCCCGCTTTACATCCCTGCATGGAGACCATGGGGGGTAGAAGCTACTCTGATTGGAAAGACAAAACATGCGAATTGTCGTCGCGAACTGTTCAGCGACAGATGCACTTGTGGGAAACGTTCCTCCTCCCCTTTTCACCCAACTTTGCAAGGGGCTTGGTGCTGACGCTCCACTCACCCACCGAGCAGAAATAACCCCATACATTCTAACGTAAAATGTTAAAGCAATTAAAAATGGAATTTTGAAAAAGGGTTATCATTAAAATTGTACACAGATATATGCACATATCCGTGAGAATGTATTTGTCCTCCTGCACACAGGCGCAAGGCTGGACTACATTAATCAAAGTTAAAGGGAAAAAAAAAAAAAAAAAAAAAAAAAAAGACTAATTACACTATAAAAAAGGAAATATAAACAAATAATGGCACACGGTACGCGAGGAGCGGTGAAGCCAAGTGCGGAGCAGGACCAGCCGTGCAGGCCTAACACATGTGCCATTAAACAAGGGGCATACAAAAAAAAAAAAAAAAAAAAAAAAAAAA